CTACTGACGAGACTGCCTGCTCGCCCAACCACACCGACTCTCACCGAGTCACAGTACCGATTCACACGCCATCGATCGGGCTCGGATGAATAAGGAGGGTACAGCGACGGATTGCCCGGTACTGATCTACGGGAAAATACAGGGAGTAGCAGTGAAGATCTTCATTGACGGAGGAGCAAGCCACAACTTAGTTAATACCGCAACCGCACGAAAATTACAGTTAACGCTTAACCGATGTTTACCTGAGATAGATGCACGCTTAGTCGACGGCACGCCCCTGGCCATACGGGAAAAGGTGGAGCGCGTAAAAGTCCGCTGCGGGGGGAACTTCGGGTTTACACAGGAAATGCTCGCGACGACACTGGATGGGCACGACATTTTATTGGGACGTGACTGGCTGCGACGGTACAACCCACGGATCGACTGGACGACGGGGAGCTGCACAGTACGAAGTAGTGGTAACTGGGTCGTTGTACCTCGCTGGCAGCCACCCAAATCTTCGACGGTCCAGGTCAACGCCATCACGATGAAACGGGCTGTCGCTGCTGGAGCTGACGTGTACGCAGTGGATATCGCGCTAGTGAAAAAAGAGGAGCAGCCGAGTGATTTGGAGAAACTGCTCGCAACTGTACCGACCGAACTACAGGCACTACTGAAACAGTTCCCGGGGATATTTCCGGATGATTTACCACAGGGACTGCCACCTCAGCGGGCGCACGACCATAGGATCGAGTTAGAACCGGGGGCACAGCCAACTGTACAGCGGCAATTTCGACTGACACTGCCCGAGCTCGACGAGTTAAGGAAGCAGTTAGATTACCTGTTAGAGAAGCAGTTTATCCGTCCGAGCTCGTCACCGTTCGCCGCACCGATACTGTTCACACCGAAAAAAGACGGAGGGTTCCGCATGTGCATCGACTACCGAGCGCTTAATAGGGTAACAGTCAAATCGCGATACCCCATCCCCCCGCGCCGACGAACTGATCGACCAACTGCGAACAGCACGAGTCTTTTCGAAAATAGATTTACGGGGAGGTTACCATCAGATTCGGGTCGAACCATAGGACTGCGCCAAAACAGCATTTAGGACTAGGTACGGGTCATTCGAGTATACAGTAATGCCATTCGGGCTGGCGAACGCGCCTGCGACATTTCAGATGACCATGAACGAGGCGTTTAGACCACTTTTAGATAAATGCGTGATAGTTTACCTGGACGATATTCTAGTTTACAGTCGGGATAAGCAGCAGCACTTAGTGGATCTTGAAGCGGTTTTTAAGGTTTTGGAGGAACATCGGCTACTCACCAAGGGCTCCAAGTGCGAGTTTTTTCGGGACAGGCTAGAGTTTTTGGGTCACGTCATTTCGGAGGCTGGGGTTGAGATCGACCCAAAGAAGCTGGATACGGTAAAAGCGTGGCGCCCCCCGACGAACATCACGGAACTGCAGAGTTTTTTAGGTTTTGTTAATTACGTTCGACGGTTCGTGCCCGACATGGCACGTTTAACAGCCCCACTCACTGATTTACTGCGTAAGGGGGTCGCTTTTACGTGGGGGGAGAACGAGCATGCTGCCTTCTCTGCCCTGAAAACCGTTCTCTGGTCACCACCCGTTCTACGCATCGCCGATCCCCACCGCCCTTTCGAAGTGGTTACCGGCGCAAGTGACATCGCCATCGGAGCTGTACTGTTACAGGACTTCGGCGATGGCCTCCAACCCATCGCCTACGAATCACGCAAACTACATCCGCCTGAGCGAAATTACCCAATACACGACCGCGAAATGCTCGCGATCGTGCACGCATTCAAAGTGTGGCGCTGCTACTTGACCGGCGCAGACGTGACAATACGGACAGACCATCGATCTCTACAGTACCTCCGCGCACAGCCCCACCTCAACCCACGACAGATTCGATGGCTCGATTTCCTCGAGTCGAATTTTCACTATACGGTCACATACAAAAAAGAGCCTCGAATATCGCCGACGCACTGACCCGCCCCACTGCCCAGATCCACGCGATACTACTCGCCAAGACCAGCCCGCTACTGACAGGCCTATTTACCCACGGATATCAAACAGACCCGTTCTTTACAGGAGGCAACTCACAGCAATTCGCAGCGGCAAAAGGAGTCTATTACGTAAAAGTTGGAACCGACCGCATCTGGGTACCAGGATACACGCTACTGCGGGAACTACTGTTACAGGAAGCACACGACGGAGTTACCTCGGGACATTTTGGGGTAGAAAAAAACACGACAGCAGCTGCAGCGGTACTACTACTGGCCAGAAATGTTGACCGATGTGCAACGACACGTGGCATCGTGCCCCACTTGCCAGCTCATGAAGTCAAGCAGGAAGCGGCCGGCGGGACAATTACAACCCATCCCGCCCCCAGAGCGTGCTTGGCAGCAGGTGACGATGGATTTCGTCACGGGTTACCGGATTGGGTAGGGGCGAGTGATGACGCGATCCTGGTCGTCGTCGATCGACTAACGAAGATGGCTCATTTCGCAGCATGCAGGAAATCAATCACTGCCGAGGAAACCGCCCGACTCTTCATCACCACCGTCGTTCGACTGCACGGGATACCCGCATCGATCATCAGCGACAGAGACACGAAATTTACAAGCAACTTCTGGCGGAACCTGTGGCAGCAGTTCGGCACGCGCTTACAGTTCAGTTCATCCTATCACCCCGAAACCGACGGACAGACGGAACTGACAAATCAGACCATGGAGCAGCTGATTCGAGCCACGTGCGACGATCCGAATACGTGGGAACAGCAGCTGCCACTCATCGAGTTCGCATACAATAACGCACCATCAGCCACGACGCAACAGTCGCCGTTTTACTTGAATTACGGACAGGACCCAACGGTACCCATGACACCGAATCCCGACAACCCCGTCCCACGAGCACAACAGTTCGCCGAGATTCTGCAAGCAGCACGGACCAGGGCAGCAGACGCAATAAAAAAATCAAACATCATCGCTAAACGCAACGCCGATCGCCATCGCAGACCCGTTACTTATCAGCCCGACGACCTCGTTTTACTCGACACTCAGAACCTCCGCCTGCCCATCACCCCAAAACTCCGCCGTCGATACTGTGGGCCATTTCGAATCATTCACATGGTTACGCCAGTCACCGCGCACCTCCTCCTCCCTGCTGACTGGTACGTCAGCCCCTCGTTCCACGTCAGCTTACTTCGCCCTTACGTGCCATCCACCAGCCAACTCTCACGACATCGACCCACCAGCATGACACGACCACCAACCGAACCAGTCATCACCCCCGACAAGATCCTGAGCCACAGAGTTCGCGACCCTCGAGGAGCCCGAAAAGTGGAGTTTCTGATCCGCTGGAAAGATCGTACCCCCACCGAGGACAATTGGGTCCCCTGGAGAAAGTTGAAAATCACCCCGTCGTCACCGACTACCTGCGTAGCCGCAATTTCCGAGACATCCATGCGCTTTCCTAAGGAGGACCTCCTTAGGAGGGGGGGTAGTGTAAGGAAATTCCCTTTTCCTTACTTCGCGTCCCTGCTCAACGCGTACATCACTGTAGCATCTCAGTCAGCACCGTTACCACTCGCGACCATCGCATCATTCATCATCCCATCAAGAAATTGCATGTTGCCAGCCAATACATATCGTCAGACACTTTTGAAATTGGCACAGTCAAACCATTAAACGACAGAAGATTGTCGCAGGTGCCAATCTCACGACCAGATGTCGTCCAATCAGCACACAATATGTCTTTTGAATCGTTCGCTGCCTAGCAGATCCACACCTGACAAATTTTCAAACCAATGAAATTGAGTCGTTGATATTCGTACCTGCGCTTTGAATTGACACTTCAGCTACAGTGTTTGACACTCTAATTCAAATGCGCTTCGGGTTGACCCGCACTCACTTGACATGTTAACCCTACGGACACGAGCTCAGTTTGCCAGACCAACTTTCGTGTGACTCACCACAACCACGAGACACCCTTGGGAACTCCCGCTTTCCCTTGAGAGCATCTGATTGAAGCTCAGGACGTGTCTCATGTGAAGGGTCCGCTGGATCTGGTCCGCGACCAGGATCTATACGCCTGGTCCGGGGTTCTGGTCCGACGGACCCACTTGGCGGACCAGCGTTGGACCAGACACGGACTGGTCTGCCTGATGCGTCGCGCTTCGGGCTGCACAGTATTTGCGAGATGCAGCAGTAGGGACGAATTAGACATTGAGTTACCCATTTTCTTCGTCTGCACAAAAAGCTTACGCGAAATTTACAAAACAAGAAATTTCGCCAAAACAAATGTTTCCCCACCCACTGTTTACGGACCAGGCGCGGGCTGGTCTGGAGGGCCAAATAAATGGCACCGTTTTAGTGCCATTCGAACCGTATAACGGGGTTACAGGCCCCACATCCTGGTCCCGGTCCGCCCTGGTTCACGCACTGGTTCCTGAGCTGGTCCGTCAGGTCCGAGCCGGACCCACGTGGACTCAGACATCTGAGACACCCTCTCAGCCACACCGACCGCATCCCAATAGCTGGCCCGATCAGCTGGACTTCTTACTTGGCTTTGCTTCGCCAACACCGATTGCCTGGTCGCTGCCAGCTCTACCCGTGATTTTGTCCGGGTTTTGGCAGTTTACGCCGTCGCAGTTGAACTGTCGATAGCTACCAATGGCTGATCCTGCTGTTGATCCGGCGACTGCGCCTCCTGCTGACACAGAACAAGCCACAGCTGATGGGGGGGAGAAGATCAGCAAGAGGTATTGTTAAAAAAAAAAAACGAAGGAGAGTGCCTTTTTTTGAATGGTTCGCGGGAAAGACATTTTAAAAACCCTGTCCCTCCAGTCAAGATGGTATCGTTTCTTTCGTAGGCCAGCAATACGGCGTCCTGTTGTCACGCGCGTCGGAATTGTCGGTTATTTCCGCCAGAATCTGCACATTGCTGCTTCTTACTGTCATTTGCGCCGTTTAGGGATGCACTGCAGTCACTCATCGAATGTTCTTCTATCGCGTTCATTTCGAAAACGCTTTGCTTTTGTCACGTTGCAGTGAGCTGAAGCGTCGACTCAAGGCGGAGCAGAAGGCCAAGGAGAAGGAGGAGAAGGAGCGTCTCAAGGTACGGCTGTCTCGTGGGTGTCATGATTTTCTGCCTGGCTGGTTGTTAGTAAACACTTCTTACCGACGTCAATGTACGTTTGTTGCCATGGAAGGAACGGCAATAAGTACGGCTATCTCGTGGGTCTCATGATGCGTGCCTGGCTGGTTGTCAGTATAGATGCTTGTAACGGATGTCAATTTAAGTGCTTGTCATGTGGGTGTAAGTACAGACGCTTGTCATGGATGCTAATTTCATGTCATGGATGCTAATTTTATTGTCATGGATGCCAATATCATTGTCATGGATGCCAATATCATTGTCATGGATTTCAGTAGAGAGGCTTATCATGGATGCCATGACAGATATTTGTCATGTCATGGGTATTGCCTGGAAAGAATGGCTTTTGGTTATGTGTCCTCGTACCTTTGCATGGTGATTCGGTGTCCTCATATTTGAGTGCTCCACCCCCTCACTGTTGAGAAATATAGCTGGTTCTCACAGTGAATCTGGCATTCGTATGACATTCACGTTGACTTTGACTGACAGTGAATCTATGTTGACATTCACATTCACACTGACATCGACTGACACTAAAATTGCTGTTGTAATTGACACTGACATTCACAATCACGTTCAAGTTGACGCGATGTAAATCTATTATGTTTCCAACTCGGCCCTGACATTCGCGTTGGTTTTTGCTTTGACATTGGCAGGCAGAGAAGGCGGCTGCTCAAGGCACAGGCGGGGACAAAGCAAAGACGAAGGCCGCAGAAGAGGACGAAGAGGAGGACCGAATGTGAGTCAGACGAGGAGATCCCTAGAGCTCTTGATGATGATTTCTCACGCCGACAGAGAGACCCAGGCAGCACAGGGCAATCTATACTCTTCACACCTCTCCCGTGGAGGCAGTGCCTTACCACCAACCCCCACCTTTTACCCTTCTCTACACCATCTCTTTTCAAACTGTGGCCACGAGATCCGCAACATTGCACATATTTTGATACTTCTCATGCCTCCGCTTCCTCACTTTACTATCACTCCCACAGAAGTACCATGAGAACCGTCTGGCATACGTCACAGAGATTCAGGCCGCGGGAGGCAACCCCTACCCGCACAAGTTCCACGTGTCCACGCGCCTGCCAGAGTACTTAGCTAAGTACTCCAATCTGGAGAGCGGACAGCAGTTGGCGGACGAGCAGGTTTCCCTCGCCGGCCGTGTCATGCGCCGGGCGGCGTCGGGCGGCCGGCTTGTCTTTTATGACCTTCATGCGGACGGCTGCAAAGTGCAAGTCATGGCCGATGCCAGGTGAGGTTTCAGGTGGTTTCAGTAGAAGGGCTGGTACATCAGGTGAATCCTTTCGTCCCTGTGTGTGCATCTACTTGTCCCTCAGCTTTCTCTCCGTCTGTCTCTGTCTGTCTCTTCTCTCTGTGCCCGTCCTCTCTTATCCCTCTTGTGACTTGTGAATGCAGGAACTGGGAGGCAGGAGAGGAGGAGTTCACTCGCCTGCACGGGACAGTGAAGCGGGGAGACATCGTGGGCATCTTAGGCTTCTTCGGGAAGAGCAAGCGTGGCAAGCTCAGTGTGTTGGGTCTTTCATCTCCCTTTGCTGCCCATCCCACCCCCTTGTGTGGCAGGAACTGGTTGGCAGGGGAGGAGGAGTTCACTCGCCTGGGCATCTCAGACTTTCTTGGGAAGAGCAATTGCTTTGAACTCAAGCTCAGTGTGTTTCTTCTCCCTGTGCTACCCATCCCACCCCCTTGTGTGGCAGGAACTGGGAGGCAGGGGAGGATGAGTTTACTCGCTTGCACGGCACAGTGAAGCGCGGTGACATCGTGGGCATCTCAGGCTTCCTGGGAAGAGCAAGCGTGACAAGCTCAGTGTGTTGGGTCTTTCTTCTCCCTGTGCTGCCCATCTCACCCCCTTGTGTGGCAGGAACTGGGAGGCAGGGGAGGAGGAGTTCACTCGCCTGCACGGGACGGTCAAGCGCGGTGACATCGTGGGCATCTCAGGTTTCCCCGGGAAGAGCAAGCGCGGCGAGCTGAGTGTGTTTCCCCGCAGCATGCTCGTGCTGGCGCCGTGTCTGCACATGATGCCCAAGGAGAAGAAGAAGGCTCCAGGCGCTGCTGCTGCTGGTGCTGCTGCCCCTGCGGCTGCAGCTCAGGCTGATGTAAGTGAAGGAAAAGAGGGCCCTTTGTACCCTGAAAGGTGACGTGCTGGTGCCCTGGAGAAGAAGAAGGCCCCTGGTGCGGCGGCTGCTGCTGCCGCTGCTGCTGCTGCCCCTGCGGCAGCCGCTCAGGCTGATGTAAGTGAAGGAAAAGAGGGCCCTTTGTATCCTGAAAGGTGACGTGCTGGTGCCCTGGAGAAGAAGAAGGCCCCTGGTGCGGCGGCTGCTGCTGCCACTGCTGCTGCTGCCCCTGCGGCTGCCGCTCAGGCTGATGTAAGTGAAGGAAAAGAGGGCCCTTTGTACCCTGAAAGGTGACGTGCTGGTGCCCTGGAGAAGAAGAAGGCCCCTGGTGCGGCGGCTGCTGCTGCCGCTGCTGCTGCTGCCCCTGCGGCTGCCGCTCAAGCTGATGTAAGTGAAGGAAAAGAGGGCCCTTCGTACCTTGAAACATCTCGTGCTGGCGCCCTGTCTGCACATGATACCATACATCCCCTATCCACCCTCTTCCTCTTCCTCCCAACTGCATTCCTCAGGGCCCTACTGCAGCCGTATGGGCGCCTAATCTGCCGCGCAACCCCGAGCACTACATTCTCAAGGATCAGGAGACACGCTACCAGGCGCAGTGCTGCTGGCAGTACAAGGTTTCGCCTTTTCACCCCAACCCTTATCCCCCTCTATTTCCACTCCCCCCAGGGGCCCACCCCCACTGCTGCCGTATGGGCGCCTGGTCTGCCCCGCAACCCCGAGCACTACATTCTCAAGGACCAGGAGACGCGCTACCGGGCTCGGTACCTGGACCTGCTGGTGAACCCGGACATCCGCCACGTGTTCCAGACGCGCGCCAAGGTCGTCTCGTACCTCCGCAAGTTCTTCGACGGGAGGGACTTTTTGGAGGTGAGGCATGGTATCCGGACTTGCTGGTGAACTTATGGGTCGGCTCCGTAGGTGGGCCGAGTTACCTTGACCTGCTGGTGAACCCAGACATCCGCCACGTGTTTCAGACGCGCGCCAAGGTCGTCTCGTACCTCCGCAAGTTCTTCGACGGGAGGGACATTTTGGAGGTGAGGCATGGTACCCGGACCTGCTGGTGAACCCGGACATCCGCCACGTGTTCCAGACGCGTGCCAAGGTCGTCTCGTACCTGCGCAAGTTCTTCGACGGGTGAGACTTCCTCGAGGTGAGATGGGGAGACAGGACAGGAAACAGGAAATGGGAGGTGGGAGCTTGGGCATAGACGGGAGAGGGGAGACGGAAGGGGGGAGGCAGGAGGGGGGAGGAGATGGGAGACGGGGAATAGGAGTTTGTGGCAGGGTTAGGGCGCATTTCTGACCTTGTGTCATCCGGTGTTGGTGTCATCCGAAAACTTTGGAACTCACGCGATTGGCCCAAAAATCACAACGGGCCAATCACGTGCGTTCCAATTTTTTCGGATGACACCAACACTGGATGACATGAGGTCAGGAATGCGCCCTTAGGATGGTTGTAGCATGAGAGGTGAGAAGGTTAGGTTCTATAGGCGGGATGCCTGGAAAGGTTCTCCTTTCCACTCCCGCCTCCCCGCTCCTCCACCCTCCTCTTTCCCCCTCCTCCTCTCCCCTTCTTCTCCCCCCCCTCCTCCTTACACCCACAGGTGGAGACCCCGATGATGCACATGGTGGCAGGAGGGGCAGCAGCTCGGCCATTCAAGACTGAGCACAACGATCTCAACATGACGCTCTTCATGCGCATCGCCCCCGAGCTCTTCCTCAAGGAGCTCAGCGTTGCCTTGGGGGCGGGCGGGCGGGCTTTGATATATTGAGGCGCCTCAGAATCAGCTTCAGCTGCCGTTTCTCCTCCCTCCCCCCTCCTCCCTCCTCCTTCCTTTTCCCCCCTCTGCCCCCAGGTGGAGACCCCGATGATGCACATGGTGGCAGGAGGAGCGGCAGCGCGGCCATTCAAGACAGAGCACAACGATCTCAACATGACGCTCTTCATGCGCATCGCCCCCGAGCTCTTCCTCAAGGAGCTCGTGGTGGGCGGGCTGGACCGCGTGTACGAGATCGGCAAGCAGTTCCGCAACGAGGGCATCGACCTCACCCATAATCCCGAGTTCACGACAATTGAGTTTTACGCTGCGTATCTGGACTACAATGATCTGATGGTCCTGACGGAGGAGCTGCTCTCAGGTGAGCTTGGTTCCTACCTGCCAACCTACCTTCCTATCCACAGGTGCCTTTGAGCCCCTAAGCCTCTGAGCCTCCTTGAGGCTCTCTCTCTTCCTCAAGGAGGCTCATGGTGGGCGGGCTGGACCGCGTGTTCGAGATCGGCAAGCAGTTCCGCAACGAGGGCATCGACCTCACCCACAACCCCGAGTTCACAACGATTGAGTTTTACGCGGCCTATCTGGACTAAAACGATCTCATGGTGCTCACTGGAGAGCTGCTCTCAGGTGGGTTTACAGGTGGTGTTTTCACTTGGTGGTTCAGGGCTTGTGGTTCTTACCTACCTACATACAAGTGCCTTTGAGAGCCTTTGAGCCTTGAAGCTCGCTCTTCCTCGAGGAGGGAGCTGGTGGTGGGCGGGCGGGCTGGACCGCGTTTACGAGATCGGCCAGCAGTTCCGCAACAAGGGCATCGACCTCACGCACAATCCGGAATTCACCACCATCGAGTTTTACGCTGCTTTTTTGGACTACAATGATCTCATGGTGCTCACAGAGGAGCTGCTCTCAGGTGAGTTTTCAGGTGGTGGTTCAGGGCTTGTGTTCTCACTGACCTACCTATCTACAGCTGTGAAAGAGATTGGTTAGAAGCTGTGATCCCACAGCATTGTCCCTTCGCTTCCTCCTTGCACTTTCCTTCTGCTCCCCGTCTCTACCGCAGGCACGGTGAAGGAGATCCGGGAGGGGGGGGGGGAAGGAGGGGGAGGGTCCTTTTGAGACGTCTCAAAAAACACACAGCATTGTCCCTTCGCTTCCTCCTTGCACTTTCCTTCTGCTCCCCTCTCGTCTCTACCGCAGGAAGGAGATCCGGGAGGGGGGGGGGGGGATACAAGCTGTGGTACCACGGCAGCAAACAATTTCGGTCCCATCTTTCCTTCCCCACGGCTTCTCCCCCTTATCCCCCTCTCTATCACATGCATGGTGAAGGAGATTACGGGGGGCTACAAGCTGTGGTACCACAGCAACAAGAATGGTCCCCTCTTCCCTCACCCCAGTCCGCCTTTCATCCTGTTCTTTCCCCTCCCTATCGCAGGCATGGTGAAGGAGATCACAGGCGGCTACAAGCTGTGGTACCACAGCAACGGGCTGGACAAGGAGCCTGTAGAGATCGACTTTACCCCGCCCTTCAAGTAAGCCTCTGAAGCTTTTCTTGATAACGCTCAGTGCTGTTGTTGATTCATAACATCTCTGTCTCTTGACAAGCTGTGGTACCACAGCAACGGGCTGGAAATGGAGCCTGTGGAGATCGACTTTTCTCTGCCCAAGTATGCTCCTCTTGCTGACTGTCAATAATGTATAGCAGCTCTATCAGTCCACGTGGGAGGATTCGTGCTTTGAGTCGACTCAAAACACGGCTCATTTCGCGTTTATAGCAGCTCTACTAGTCCAGGAGGAAGGACTCTCGTCCGCCCCAAAACGGCAATATTGGTCTGTCCTGTGCATCCTTTTGAGGTGCCTCAAAAGTATTGGTCTTGTCCTGTGCATCCGTGCATACTGCCCCAACCAACCCCCTGTTCCCGCAATCATGATGTCAGTCGAGTTTTGAGTCGACTCAAAACGGAAATATTGGTCTTGTCCTGTGCATCCGTGCATACTGCCCTGGCCAACCCCTGTTCCCGCAATCATGATGTCAGTCGCATGCATCCTCTATCCTTCCGCCTTGTCCACCCCCAGGCGCATCCCCATGATCCAGGGCCTGAGGGATACCGGAGGGCTGACAGACCTGCCAACGAACCTGGAGGCAGAGGAGGCGAGGCAGTACCTGGAGGTGCATACATACCTCCCACGCACACCATGCATACCTCCTCCCTCTCCACGTCCACCCCCAGGCGCATTCCCATGATCCAGGGCCTGAGGGACATCGGAGGGCTGACAGACCTGCCAACGAACCTGGAGACAGAGGAGGCGAGGCAGTACCTGGAGGCCATGTGCGAGAAGCACCACGTGCAGTGCCCTCCCCCGCTCACCACCGCGCGCGCTTGCTCGACAAGGTGAGAGCGCAGAAGTGTATAGTGTGACATCCACGTGCAATCGTTTTGTTGGGAGCCTAAAAGAAATCAGTTAGCACAGAAGTGTACTGTGTGTATCACATCTGTCCGTGTTCAAGTGTTTCAAGAGACCGTTGGAATTTGGAGACAGAGGAGGCGAGGCAGTACCTGGAGGCCATGTGCGAGAAGCACCATGTGCAGTGCCCCCCGCCGCTCACCACTGCGCGCCTGCTCGACAAGGTGTGTGTGTGTAGGGATTTGTCTTTTCAACCTGTTCAAAGTAACAGCAGCTGCAGCTACGGCAGTATTTAGTGACTCGGTGTGACTAGCGAGCTGTATTCTGAGCCTGACTTTTGAGACGCATCTCTCAAAACTAGCGAGCTGTATTCTGAGCCTGTTCAAAAGGGGGTTGCTGAATGACGCATCTCTCAAGCGTCTCAAATTCACAGCTGTTCATATTCTCTTGTTCCTTCTGCCCCTGCCTCTCCCTCCTGCGGCTGGTGGGGCGTTTCATCGAGCCCAAGTGCGTCAGCTCCACGTTCGCCATCGACCATCCTTCAGTTGACCATCTTTTGATGATGTGCACCTCTTTCCTTGCCTCCTACGCCTTTTGAGGCGCCTCAAAAGACCATCTTTTGATGATGTGCACCTCTTTCCTTGCCTCCTACGCCTTTTGAGGCGCCTCAAAAGACCATCTTTTGATGATGTGAACCTCTTTCCTTGCCTCCTACGCCTTTTGAGGCGCCTCAAAAGACCATCTTTTGATGATGTGCACCTCTTTCCTTGCCTCCTACGCCCTTTGAGGCGCCTCAAAAGACCATCTTTTGATGATGTGCACCTCTTTCCTTGCCTCCTACGCCCCCCAAACCCTCCAGCTGGTGGGGCATTTCATTGAGCCCGAGTGTGTCAACCCCACGTTCAATGCCAACTATCCTTCCAAGCCAACCCCGTCCGTGTCTGTTTCCACACCTCCACTTCCTCTCCTGCCTCTATCTCTCCACCCCTCTCCCTCCTGCAGCTGGTGCCTAACCCAGCTGGGGCATTTCATCGAACCTAACCCAAGTGCCTCAACCCCACGTTCATCATCGACCATCTTCCAACTAACCATTTTGTTTATGATGCCCTCTGTTCTCCCTCTGCTGCTCATTAACATACTGCCTCCCCCCCTGTTCCAGCTGGTGGGCCATTTCATCGAGCCCAAGTGCCTGCCTGAGCCCAACATTCATCATCGACCATATTCCAACCAACCTCCCCTCGCTTCCTTCCCATATTCCTTGTATATCTTGCTCCTACTTATCCACACTGACCTATTAACCCTGCAGCTGGTGGGGCATTTCATCGAGCCGAAGTGCCGCAGCCCCACGTTCATCATCGACCATCCGCAGATCATGTCTCCCCTCGCCAAGTGGCACCGCACGGACGTCAACCTCTCAGAGCGCTTCGAGCTCTTTGTCAACTGCCACGAGGTGGGTGGTGGTGTAGAGGTTATTACTGTGTGAGTTTGCTTGTCTGCCCTGCCCTCTCTGCTCTTGGCTGTCTCATGTCTCCCCTCGCCAAGTGGCACCGCACTGACGTCAACCTCTCAGAGCGCTTCGAGCTCTTTGTCAACTGCCGTTAGGTCACTTGGCGGTGTAGATTATTTCTGTGTCGGGTTGTGTACCCTGGGCTGTCTGGTCCTCCCTCTCACCAAGTGGCACCGCCCTAACGTCAACCTCTCCGAACGCTTTGAGCTCTTCGTCAACTGCCATGAGGTGGATGCAGGTGGTGGGGTTGTGTGGGAGGGTGGTTGGGTTATCACTGTGTCAGTTTGTGTGCCCTGGTCTGTCTGATCTTGCCTCTCGCCAAGTAGGTGGCACTGCACTGACGTCAATCTCTCTCCAAGCGCGTTGAGCTCTTTGTCAATTGCTATGAGGTCAGTGAGGGTGGTGGGGTGGGGTGGTGTGGGGGGGGGGGTCACAATGTCGGGCTGTCTGCCCTGCCCTCTCTGTCCTGGGTTGTGTGGTCTTAGTGCTTGCCAAGTGGCGCCGCACTGACGCCAACCACTCCGAGTTGTCTGCCCTGTCCTGGGCTCCAATCGTTTCTTCAACTGTTATGATGCGGATTGATATGGTGGGTGGAACGCTGTTTTGGACCCTCTGCGCTGGCTTACTGCGCTGGGAGTCACTTTTGGGAATCCTCAAAAGGTTACTGCGCTGGGTTGTTGTGCTGGCTTGTGTTAACTTCCTTGTGTTGATGCCTTCTGCCCCTCACCTCACCTGCCTGCCTTGCAGGTGTGCAATGCGTACACGGAGCTGAACGACCCAATCAGGCAGCGCCAGCTGTTCGCCAATCAGGGCAAGGACCGGGCGGCTGGCGATGATGAGGCCATGAAGGTGCGAGTGGGGCAGAGGCGGAGGAGGGTGGGGTGGTGGAAGGGGAAGGGTAGTGGGGGGGCAGAGCGGCAGAGGGGCAGAAGAGGAAGGGTAGTGGGGGGGCAGAGGGGAAGAGGGGCAGAAGGGGAAGGGTAGTGGGGGGGCAGAGGGGAAGAGGGGCAGAAGGGGAAGGGTAGTGGGGGGACAGAGCGGCAGAGGGGAAGAAGGGGAAGGGTAGTGGGTGGACAGAGGGGCAGAAGGGGAAGGGTAGTGGGGGGCAGAGGGGCAGAAGGGGAAGGGTAGTGGGGGCAGAGGGGCAGAAGGGGAAGGGTAGTGGGGGGCAGAGGGGCAGAAGGGGAAGGGTAGTGGGGGGGCAGAGGGGCAGAAGGGCAGAAGGGGAAGGGTGGGAAGGGATGTGAGGAGGGCACAATAGGTGGCTGGTGATGATGAGGCCACGAAGGTGTGAATGGTGGAAGGGTCAGGAGTGAGGTGCTCAGGGGGGGGAAGGGGTAGAGGGGGGATGGGCAAAGGAGGAAGGGTGGGGGAGGGGGGTGGGGCGCGGAAGTGTGAGGCGAAGACACGGCTGGTGATGATGAGGCCGTGAAGGTGCGAGTGGGGGCGGCCATAGGGGAGGGGTATAGGGAGAAGGGTATGAGGGGGAGAGAAAGGAAACACAGGAGAAAAGTATTATTGCTGTTGCTGTCAAGCGACACTCACGTGCCCTCTTGTTAACCCCTAAGCCTCCCTCCCACGCTTGCCACTTCCCCTTGTCCTTACCTCCACTCGTTGCGCCCCTCTCCTCCTTCAACCTCCTCCACTCGAGCAGAAGGACGATGACTTCTGCACGGCACTCGAGTACGGCCTGCCGCCCACGGGAGGGTGGGGCATGGGTGTGGACCGACTGACCATGATTCTCACCGACTCTATCAACATCAAGGTGAGACACACATGGGGGGGTACAAGTGGTGGTTAGTATGGGAGGTTAAGGCACAGGAGGATGGGGCACAGGAGAGTGGGGCATGGGAGTGGACCGACTGACCATGATTCTCACCGACTCCATTAATATCAAGGTGAGATGTATGTGTGGGGTCGCACGAGGATATGGTGCAAAGGCCATGGGTGCAGTACGTGTGTATGGAGTGGTTAGTATGGTGCGGGCCATGGGAGTATGGGTCCCGGGGAGGGTGGAGCATGTGTGTGCGTGGAGCAGCTGACCATGATTCTCACCGACTCTATCAACATCAAGGTGAGACATGGGCTTGATGCACAGGACATGGTGCACCCAAACATGGTGCACCAAACATGGTGCACAAGACATGGTGCACAGGGCATCGGTGTGCGTACGAGATGGTGGTGAGAATGTGACCTGAAGGGTGGTTGGGTTATGGATGCTCTGGTTGACTGCTTACCACGGATGAGCGATGGGAGTTGGAAATCGACATATATACGCAGTTGGGAGTGCGCTGGTGCTCATTGGTTATCCTTCCCTGGTTTGTGCTGTTTTTTTATGTTCTGGCTCCACAGGAAGTGCTTCTGTTCCCGCTATGAAAGCCCAAGGCTGACCAACTCCCACCTGCCGCTGCTGCTGCTCCGGGTGCTGCACCTTCAGATGCAAATGCTTAATACTTAAGCTATCATTTTCCATTTAATAGTATTAGAAGACAAGGGTTTGTCAAATCCAGGTTTTAACCATGCCAGTTTCAGGGTTGTGTAATGGAAAGAAACAGTTTTTGCTTGCACTTCATGATAAATGATGATTGCCTACAGTGCCTGTTAACGAAGTGGCCAATAGAGAATAATGCGACTTCGGGTGACAAAGCTGCGTGGTTAGGGAGCTTCACTTTCACGCAAACCAGCGTCCATCGTCGTGATTGGTTGCATCTCTTTCCTGGCCCACTGGTCAGCTTCGTTTTCCACGTCACCCTGTCTGGCTCTTGCAGAAAGTGCTCGCCCCTGACAGTCGAACCGCCACACCATCACTGTCCCAGACCAGAGCGACCCCACCCCTACAGTTTGCATGTCCGCCCCACTGTCCAGTGCGGATTGGATTTTACATTCTGCGCCTCACCATCCAGCTTCAAGGTGACGCGTCAAATAGGTGTCAGAGCTGAGCTGTTCTCAGGAGAAATCCATTGGGGTTTTGAGTTGAGCACGCACTGTTACTGAACTTTCTTCGCTCCCAGTGTAGCTACAGTGCTTCTGGCGCATTGTTAGTGCTCTGTTTTCGCTCACAAACGCAAGAGTTAGCTCCTTTCAACAAACTTTTGATTTCATTGGTCCCCACATGGCACATAACTACAAACCGAACCTGTGGATACTGTCACAAAAAACAGTAACTACTTTGATTTGTTTTTAGTGCTAAACTTTTTATCTTCCCCCTTAAAAAAGGTATCGACCCTAAACACCTTCCGAATGGTGTTTAGGATTGATGCTTAATCGAGGACCAGCCATCGAAAAAAATATACTCGTTTGGAAGGGCATCAATCCTAAAACACCTTGTCTCCTGGTGTTTAGGGTTGATGTCTCCCTCGAAAAAACATGCCACCCGATAGGATTTTATGTTTTTGTGCCCGAAATGCTTTCGTTTGACGTTCTGTGGCCGCCAACCAAAGCAGAGTTATCGGCCCGTCAATTCTACGACCAATAAAAGCAAAACTGCGTTGAAAGGAGCTAATTTCTGCGTTGTGAGCGAAAACTGGGAAGTAAAAGTGTGCCAGAAGCCTTGTAGATACGTGGGGAGAAAATATGATCAGTAACAGTGCGTGCGCAACTCAAAACCCATTCCATTGCTCCCAGAACGCTTGTTATGGTGATTTTTGGGTCCTGCTGGAAGGGGATATAGCCAGAAAATATATGGGCAGGATGAGGCAGCCGCTGTTCGTCAGAACGCCGCCTCCACTACAGAGGGTGGAATAAGATTAACACTACATCACTTGCCAAGCTTTTTAGCATGTGTTTCTGTGTTCCTCCATTCGTTTCTTCATCCTCCAGTCGAACTACCCTCCCTATGTCACACTTTTGTATTTTCTACTCTTTCGGGGAAAAGGTTTCCTTTCCTAAGCTTCCCCCTCCCACCTCAAGCCAGACTACCCAACCACACCACCTTGCTCCCTTTTCGACTCATTTTTCCAAACGAACCGTTTCAAATGGCTCTCTTGTTGCCACAGTGTGTCTGCCTTGCCAGGCTGTGGGGAATGCTGGTTGTTCCCTCAGCTGTTCAATGCATGGTGCTATGAATTCTAGGACCTCGCCTCCTTGACCACGTGCCTAATCAGAACTGCGGAATCTCCTGATTGCCTTGCCTCTGTTCCTCACTTCACTCAAGTCGGGGAAAAATGTCGCGTTCTCGCATAGGACTCAATGGTTGTTGAGCTCACGTTCAGCGCAACTAACGCTGTTCAACGGCTAGCAATCTGCGACTTTCGCACACCGTCCAGTTGTCAGAACTCACTGGTTCTAGTAAAATATATCTTCGTCTGGTGGGTCAAACGCACAAGTACACGTAGCGTTTCAAGACACCCACAGTACTATCCCCTACGGATAGCGCTTTCAGACACAAGCACATCCATTCCATCCTTGTTCGTGCCCCTTCAACAGTCACACGATCCTTCTCTCTCAGCAGTCTCAGACATCGCCGTGCAATTGAGAAACGATTCAGGAATAAAGGGCGTGCGTAGTAACTAGAATTTCACGAGGACGGGATCTTCCATTTGGCGAGTTATTCGCGCGCTGACACGCGACTCGGGTCCGCGGAGAAATCAAGGCTATCAAGTATTCTCAATAGTCGTGCTCTCAAGTCCTGAAAATGCTTCTGTTGAGTAAATTTTCAGGTCCAAGTCCAGGAGGCACGCTAGCGAGCGGAATGCGCGGACCGAGCGGAACGAAGAGAAAGAATGCGGCTCGGAGCTACCACCTGCACGTCAGCCCGCGGCGCGCGTCGTTGTCTTCGAGAGATGCGGCTCTCAAGAAGCATTGATGGCAGGTAGAGACGCGGAGAAACCGCGGGAGTTAGTGACTTCTGAACCTGCTGCGGACGGAGATTGCGGGGCTTGCGGAGGTTGCGGAGGCGGCGGAGGTTGTGGGGGTTGCGGGGTTCACGCAAAACCCTCTGACTACGATATTTCAAAGCTTGCGCCGGCGGGTTTTCGCGCATCGCCTTTCGTTCTCGATGGACCGAGGCAGCTCTGAGCGACGTCGCTCGGCGAGCGCGCGAATCGACTCGCGAATCGTCGTCGCGTCGTTTGCCGACGCTTCGGCTCACCGCTCATCCTTCTCCTTCAACCCTCCCCCGCTGGTGGCCGGTGAGGAGGGAGATCCTGGAAGCAAAAACTGCGAGGCGGATTCAGCGGCGGGCGAGATCGGTCAAGACGATTCGGTGACAGCGCAGAAGCAGGAGAAGCAGGAAGAGGCGGAGAGGTGCCGGTGTGAGAAATGGATTGGCCTTTCAGCAGTCAATTCGCGGCAGCAGAGGAAGCTGGACGTCAGTGACGACGGCCGCCGAGTCCGATACCACTAGTACTAGTTTAAGGCGCCCCATAACTCAGCAGCTGACGTCAGTGGCGCCGACGCCGCTAAGCTCGCAACTGTTAGCGGTAAACGCCGCTACCGGTACAATCGGCGATAGCAGCGACTCCGGCGCTGCCGACTCCTTTGGCGACTGCTCCGCTGCGACTTGTTTTGGCAGGTTACAAGCTCCAGGTCCTAGCGCCGTCGCAGCGGGGGAGGCGGAGGCGCCGTCAGTTGCGCTGTCAGTTGCGCCGTCAGGTGCAGCAGCATCAGAGACGCTGTTTCCCCGGCGAATGAAATCCCAATCGCACCCCAGCGCCGCGGGTAGTACCTGTATTAGGCGATACTACAACCGGGGACGCGCAACTTCCCCTTCCCCCTGGCCCGGGGCCTAGAAAGCGCAGGCGCGATGCGGAGTTCCCCTCTGCGCAATTTCCCCGTTCCGCGCAGCTCGTCGCACACTGACAGGTTTCCGCCACCGCGAGCGGCGGTCACGGCGGCGTTTCCACCAGAGCCATGGTTTACCTGTGGCAGCAGTACCTACCAATACACACAGCCTCGCGTTACTAGTGGGCCGCTTCAGTCATGTACTAGTGAGTCGCCTCGCGTTAGTGAGCCCGTTTCGAAGCGCGGCTATTGAGTCGCCCCGCGTTACAGTCCATGTCCATGGTGACAGAGATCGCGTACGAAACCGCTCCCCGAAGGCCTCTTCACTCCGCTCTCCCCGTTATCCGCCAGTTTCCGCGGCTTCCGCCGCTCCTGCGCTGTTTTCCCCAGACGGCCTCTCCGCGCGGTTTTTCGACTCCCCCGGCGCGTCTTCGTCTGCCTCCGTCTCCTCCGCGTCCGTTCTTTCCCCCGGCGCTTCGCCATCTTCTTCCCCCGCCGCGCACTACATTTTCGTCGGCGACACAGGCGGCAGTCGTCCGCGTCGCACGCGACGACACCTCCGCTAATTACGTCGCTGCAAGGCGACGTGCCGCGCTCGCCGCCGGCTCCGTTCCGCCGGCGATCTCACTCGTTCGCGTCGCTCACACCTTTCAGCTGCAGCGGAAAATTCACGCGTCCCCGTCCCCGCCCATGTCCCCATCTCTCGCGCCGTGTTTCGTGCGCGCGGAAGGGACAGAAACAGGCGGGCAGGGGGCTACGAAAGTGCGCACCGGGAGTCAGGCGGTGCATCAGGCGCAGCGACGGCAGCGTCGACTCTAGCAGAAGCCAGGGCGGCTCGTCTGTCCACGTCAGCAGCAGCAGCTACTGCCGCAACCCAGGAAGAACTAGATTTTCGCATCGGTGCCACTCAATAAGCCTCCATATCTTTCATCACCCGCGAGTACTGGATATGCGAACTGTGCGATAACCGCCTCCACTTCGCTTCATTCGCACGCCGTCGCTGAAGCCGGCGTGCCATGAGTTCCCTCGCTGGGGATCTACAGTGAATCGTTCTACAGTACACGGCAGCTACCTGTCGAAACGTCTACACGTCAGGGGCTACAATAAAGTATTTTACCGTCAACCGAGGCTGCAGTACCATATGCCCCCAACAGAAATCCCACCGCCTCAAACTGCGCAGTTTTCCCTGGCTTCTCCAAAGTCCCCACAAGGGTTAGTTGGAGCAACTAGGGGGCAGCCCGGATGGGGAGTGGAGCGAACCGGTGGGTATATCATGGGAGGCGCAGGGGAGGCGAATAGGGGGGGAGCGGCACAGGGGTGGGGTGGCACATCGTTGAAGGCAGGGCTGAGTGGTGGGGGATGTGTGAGGGGAGGCGCAGCGACGATGCGTATGCGCGTGCACCAAGGGATGAGTGCCGCGAGGCATGTCCATGGGCACGTGCGATCCGAAACTGCTGGCAGGTTGATGGTTTGTTGCCAGCGTGTCACGGTAACCAGACTGGCGAAGTCGGGGGCAATTAGCACACTGGCAGGCTGGATCATAGAGTGGCGGCAGCTGTAGTATGAAAAGAAGCGATGGCAGAAGCAGCAGCAGCAGCAGCAGCAGCGGCAGGGGAAGCAAGACGCAGTGCGAGTAGAAGCAGTGCGAGTAGAAGCAGCACGGCCAGGGGTAGCAAGAGCATGAGCCATAAAGACTGGGAGTGGGTTCTTGTGGTCCTGCGATCTTGCAGCACTGGCAATGGCACCACCAGCACCTACAATACGCTCAATGCAAAGACAGTGGATCCTTTTCTGCTCTAAAAATAGAGTGGAGTGGACGCAGGGTAAGTTTCATGCCCTGGCAAAAGCATGCTTGGTGCAGCAGGATGCGCATTCATAAGAGTGTTTGGGAGCTCACAGTTGAAATATATGATCATAGAAAGACAAGCGCATTTGCAGGAAAATATTGCCTGCAAGAGCAGCATCAGCAGCAGCCAGCAATAGCAGCGGACCAGAACCTGAATGGGGCATATATGCTGGGAAAGTTGCTGCTCATATCAATTTGTCATGTCAAACGCCAGCTCAAGAGCCGTAACTGGTGCTGGGGTTGGTGTGGTACTTTCTGGGTGACCAACAGTTGAAATTAGTTTTGTACACCAATCAGTAGACGCGAAGGATCAATTGGAAGTAGAGTTGAGGACATGCACCAGCCAGCAAGTCATAGACGACGGTAGGTCTCGTGCGTTGGACCAGAATGTATTCTGGCTCTTAATACTGTGTTATAATTTTGTTAAGTCGATGGGAATCTCAGTGGTCGTGTATGACCGGTCTTCTTGTTACGATAGCGAGCTTGCGTGCAAGACATTACTTGGGTGACAGGCAAACAACGCCAGGCTGGCTTGATGCTGAGAATTTGTCGCTTCTGTCCATACGGTGGTTGTTTGACAGACTTACGGCCAACGACACTGTGATTGTTTTTGACGGCTGAGATTACTTCGAGAGCTTTTTCAACACAGCTAGGCTCACCAGCTCGACCTTTGAGACTGACCCTCACCTCGACGACAACCGTCGATTTGCATCTCCATGCCTGCCACAAGAGCCAACAGACCGTACCTGATAAATTCACCTCAGGGCTTCCTTACTTCCGACACTGTACGTACGGAGGACAAGCCTCCCCCTCCCTCCCTTCATCACTTTCACTTTCGACCGTTTTAGGAATTATTCGACCGCGCTAGATCACAAAGTGGTCCCTTACCTAACTGATCGCAATTACAGCAATGACGGTTCCCTAGAAATCATCGGCCCGATGAAAGCTACCTGCCTTACGTTATCCACCTGAATACCTGTGTAGGCGTTGTTGTAGGGCGTTCCCAAGTATAGCCGCCATAGAAGTTTCCCCAAGCCAGTGCTGCTGCTTGTTATGTTATTTGCTGCTGTTGCATTATTTCCTCGCAAAATAGAAGATTGGCGTCGACATGGACTTTGGACCTGAAGGGTCGTTAGTGTACCGCAAGTTTCTGTTAGCAAGCCCGGCAAGTGCCACGTCAGCTAGCAGTAATGCCAGTTTAGTCCATCCAGTTCTCCCTGGCACGACTTACCGCTTCGGTTTTGACTCTAACGATGGCACGGTTCCCGCCACGTTATCCGCTGGTGACTGTATCGAGATGGTCTGCACTACGCCTAAAGGCTCGTGGTTACAGTTAGAAGTAGCCGTTTCAGAGCTTTATCAGCCGTTGAGGGCTGCGCGAATCGAACGGTGCTCCCGCACACTACCAGGACAATGTACAGTGGAACCTCGGTATTATCCCGCAAACGTGCTCATGCTTTAGCGAGGACGACGAGAATAACGGAAGCGGTCCGGACCCTTCGAAACAACATGGTCCAGTAGAAATAATCGATATAGGATCCGCGCCAGCTGACGTGGGATACGCGTATCGCGTGAAGCCAATGACGGCGTTTCTGGTGATAAGTCCTAATTTAAAGACCACCCTGAAGATAATTGGCATTAATTCTATGGACCCGAATCGCTGATAAGTTATCGTGTCTAGACGACTTGCAGAGACACGCTGGTGGGAAGCTTGCGGAGATCAGCGAGTGGCTCAAAACGTCAGCGTGTGTTTCAAGATGTGAGTTGGAATTGCTGGTCGGTTTGCTGGTTCAATCTTATTATTTTTTGCTTGTTTTTCGCAACCTCGTCACTATCGCTTGATTATAGCGAGGCAATATCATGGCCCATGATGCGTCATCTTCTGATGTTCACACATTAGATTCTAGACGAAAAAGTTAATGTATTACAGCAGACAAAAAGGCTCTTCTGACGGTACTGTTGTTTCTTTCGGGAACGAGACCCAAGATATTGGTTTTTTAAGGGGGGGTAATGCATCAAGTCCTATTGCTGGTATCAGCGGATTTTTATGAGGAAAAGGGACCTCAGAGAGATATGAGGCGCGCCAGCTCGTGAAGCCATAAAGCCATTAAAGCTCTCAACAATAATCTGAAGGATTGTAATTTTTTGTGTTATTTTTTTCTTTGGTATAATCCGAAAAAAAAAATATCGTTTGCTAATATCTTCCTTCCCTCTTCTCCTCGTTTTCCCCCCTCCACCCTCTCCCCACTCCCTCCCCCTTTACCCCCTCTCGCCCACCCCGCCTCTTTTCCTTCGTCCCTCCTTCCCATCCCGCACATTTCGTCTCCTTTCAGACGACGTACCCAACACGATCGGTTACCGCGAAAAGCCCGTCCCCACGGACCGAACGCTCTCCCTCCTTTCCAAAGCGCATGCCGCCTGGCACACCTACCAACAGCGCCCACCACAGCCCCCACTGCCCGCCTCCGTTGCTTCCTCCGCCTCTGCGCCCAACCGCCCGCCCTACCGCCGTGCACGCGAGGGGATCTTCGGAAGCTTGTAGAGAGCACCGCGGGCGGGTCGCTGGACGATCCTTCCGCCACTGGCGCATGCGTGCCGTTCTCCAAGCGGGAAGGCGCAGGGGGAGAGGACGCGGGGGGGGGCCGGAGGTGCGGTGACGGGACGGGGGCGGGGGCGGGGGTGGGGACAGGGGCGGGAACTGAGGCGGGTTCAGCGCACCCTGTGGCGGCGAAAGCAGGTCCGGCGGACGATTTGAGGCGGAAGCTTCTCGCGTCAAGCTCAGCGCGAGGTCCGGCAGGCGGAACACCCAGGGATAGGGTAACCGCACACCGGCGAGCTTCGTCTGTGTCATTTTTCGCCCCCGGCGCGTCGGATTTCGGGACGGGCATGGACAGTCCACCTCACGGGTTTCATTCTGCGACGGGGAGCCCTGGCGGTGGGAGCGGCGGGGGTGGCGGGGGTGGTGGGAGTGGTAAGCCCCCCTCTCTAAGCCCTCGCATGCAGCAGCCTCCTTCGTCGCAGTTCGCAGCGTTTCCCGGCAGCAGCGCGGGGGGGGGGGCTAGCCCGGCGGGGCGTAGGGTTAACAGACACGCGCGAGCGCAGAGCGTCAGTTTCAGCCCACATATGGATTTCAGCAGCAGCGGCAGCGGCGGCGGCGGCGGCGGCATTACCGGTAGCACAGGAGGCAGCACTGCTAACGCTTTTGCCCACGGCTCTCCCCCCCACCCTGGCGGAGCAGGGGTGCAGGGGGGAGTCGCCCGGCGCCCAGCGCAGGGGGGATCAGGGGAGCGGGGCTGGCGCCGCCGGGACTGGTTAAGGGCGGAATGGGCAGGGGGGGGCGGATGGGGCCTTTGGGCGGAGGGGGGCTTGCTGGGGAAGGGCGGGTCCGGGGAGGGGATGGGGCGCGGGGGATTTTTCAGGAGCGCGTCTGTGGACGGAGGAAGGGGGGCGGAGGAGGATGGGGGCACGGATGGTCCGCTGGTGAGGCGGAGGAGTGGCGGAGGGGGGAGAGACCCGCCTGTCGTTGTCAAGCGGGTGGGGATGCCCCCTCTGGCCCTGCGACAGGCGCAGGCGTAGGCGCAGGCGGAGGCGGAGGCGGAGGAGGCGGGGGGGGGGTGGCGGAAGCGCAGGTGTTAACGGAAAGGAGACGTCAGGTGTGTTAGTGATTGAAATCGGTAGCAAGGGGGGTGAGGGGAGTGAGGAGGGGAAGAGGCCACCAGTGCGGATCAGGATTCTACATTTACCTTCCCTCAGCTAGGAGGGGCGATTGGTGATCCAGGTATGGAAGGTGCTGCTAACGGAGGTGGTAATAACGAAGAGGAGGAATACACCGCGGATTTGGACAGTAGTGAGGATGACTGTGACGAGGATGACGGGATATTGTGGAGTGTAAGGCTGCGCCAGGGGCATCTGCTACAGGTCGAATGCCTCTGAATGTTTCTGTTAACGAGGACGACGATAAGGAGGATGAGGACGACTGTGTGGTTCTGGCCTCGCCTCTCGTTTCAGCCCAGCCGCAGCAGCCGCAGCAGCCACAGCAGCAGCAGATGCAAGGGAATGATGCAGCGACAGGGGCAAATTCTCCTAACGGGCTTGCAGCAGCCGCAGGAGCAGCAGGAAACGGTGGTGCGGAGGCAGGAGCAGCAGCAGCAGCAGCAGGGGCAGGTGGTTACAGGAGGCTCAACTGCGATGTAACATCTGGGCAGAATGGCGGGCAGAGCAACGGGGAGGAGGAGGAGGACGTTGATGGAGATGGGGATGGGGACATTCCGCTGGCCTCCCCTCTCGCCAAATACCCCCCTGCCAGTCCCCTAAAGGCGCATGGCCATCACCAGCCGCTACCCAGCCCATTAAGCCGCGGCCCTCTGGCTTCTACATTCAGTGCCAACCCCCCTCGCCCCGGCAGCCCGCTCACACGCGTTCCCCAGCAGCAGCAACAGCAGAGTGAGAGCAGCGGTGGTGGCGGTTTCACGGATTCCTCTGGAACGGTTGTGAGCCAGAGCCTGCCGCGGAGGCTGGTGAAATCAGGTTCGGAGCGGGTGGGTGGGGCTCCGGGGTTGGGAGGAGATGGCAGCTTCAGAAGCAGCAGCAGTGTTGGTGCTGCTGCTGCTGCTGCTGCTGCTGGTGGTGGCAGCGGCCGTGGTTTCAGCAGTGGCGCGGGTAACGAAACCAGCAGCGTCTCGAGCCCAAGGAGGTTTCTAAAGTCAGGTTCGGAGCGAGGCATGGCCGGACCAGGATTTCCGTTGTCGTCCGCCCTTCCTGTAGCCCAGGTTCTCGAAGGCCCTCCGTCAGCTGCTGCTGGGTGTGCAGCAGCAGAGGCACATGTGAGTGTGCCTGAGCAAAGGCTGGGACGGGACATTCGACACACGCGCATGCTCGGAAACGGATCGCTCAAAGAGCAAGGGAGTCGGGGATGGGTGGAGAGCAGTGGAGGGGGAGGAGGAGGGGCTGGTATGGGTGCGGGGGGAGCAGGAGGGCATGGGTCGAGGTTGGGAGGGCCCCCTGGGATACCCAGGCAGTGGAGCGCTGGGGAACCAGGGGGGAGTGCTGGGGGGGTGAGTGGGGGCGGAGGGCCTGGGGGAATGGCAGGCCATGCCCATACGCATGCGCACGCTCATGGGCATGCACATGGGCATGGGCCAGGGGTACCCAGGCAAAGGAGTGTGGGGGAAACAGGGGTAGGGCAACAGCAGGGCGGCGCCGTCGGCACTGCTAGCACCAGTCGCGTGCATTTCCCACCGGAGCGCACGGCTGGGCGAGGGGAGGGGGGGTGGTGGGCAGGAGGGCTCGTTTGACCAATGGCAGGTTGAGGAGCCTGTCTCAGGGGGGGATGGACAGGGAGGGGGGGAATGACGCAAGGACCTGGAGCAGCAATGGCAGCAGCAGGAGGAGGAGGAGAGGAGGAGGAGGAGGAGGGAGGAGGAGGAGGAGGAGGGAGGAGGAGGAGGAGGAGGTGTAGCAGGAGGGGGAGGGGCACAGGGAGGGGTGCAGATGCGCATGGGTAGGCCATCGTCCCCTCAGCTGGGGGGTCGACCCACTCCTCCCCCCTGCCATGTGTCCCCGCACAGGGCTCGAAGCTCCCGCCTCAAGGATAGCAGCCCTTCAGGTGGGCTGCCAGCAGGCCACAGCAGTTCAGGTGCTTCTCCAGGTGCTGGTGGAGGAGGTCCGGGCGGCGTAGCTTCAGGTGGTATCAACAGAGCGGAGATTGCGGCCGGCAGGCGGGCGGCATGGAGGAGGAGCAGCAGCATCGGGGCCGGCGAGACTCGGAGCGGAGTGGCTGACATGCCAAGGCCGACTTCGCCGCAGCTGTTTGGAAGCATCAAGGAAACAGCCAGGGAAGGTGCTTCGTTCTCTGCATTCCAGGGTCAGCACCACGTGCAACAACATGGGCAGCAGCAGCAGCTCTCAGCGCAGCAGCAGCAGCAGCAGCAGCATCAGGTGGGCGGCAGAAGCAGCCCGTCCCAGGTGTCACCTTCCAAGTGGAGGCCTCAGCTCGGCACAGTCAATTCTTCGATGCCAGTAGGAATGGCAGGTGGATCTGGGGCAGGCTCATCCAGTGGAGGTGTTACTGCTGGTGGTGCCAGTGGTGGTGTAGGGGAAGGTAGTGCTGGTGGGATTGCTGGGCATCAGCAGCAGCAGCAGCAGGGTGGCGTGGTTCGGCCTAGGACTGGTCATGCTCGTAGGCATTCATTTGCTGTTGGATCTGGGTCGTTTGATTTTGCGTCTCAACCACCAAGCTCGTAAAGGTGAATTGCCCCTTTTCTGGAGGCGGGGTTATGCGCTCTGGATGTTTTCTTTTATTTGTTTTGCGCTCTATTTTGGTTAGTCGTTTCAATAAACTAGGACAAAGTATGGTCGATGTTTCCATATGGACTAGCCTGTGCTTTCAATCTGTAGTTTGCAACTATGTTCAGCTCAGTTAGCTTCCACGTTGACTATACAGTTGTAGAACAAGAGCACCAACGACTGTCTTGTGACGAGGTCGTTCCACTGTGCAGTCGTGTGCTATCAGGACCGCTCGAGGATATGACAAGGGGCTCCACCTGTGCTGACGTGGCTCACAAAAGTCGTCTCCACTGCCCGTCTCTCATTGACCGACACTGCATTGGCCGAACGTGGGTGCTCCTCTTGCACCGCGGTTCGTGAACTAGGAGACTATGGCAGGTAATACACCCTGTTTCTCGACCCTCTCACCTTGCGCGATTCGCTGCTACAGTGCGGTCAGGTGCCATAAACCGTATGGCTGAAACCTGCGGGCAAAGCCGCACCAGCTGACGGAGTGGTACTGGGGGCAAAATTTTTCTTTATCGCTGTATACCCCTTTTCAACCGCTTTGAAACGCTTGGTTAATGTTCTTTACCATGCAGCATCCTAGCTAACCGCTTTCTTGTGAATGTGCTTGTACCGTCGGTGATAAGACCATTTCAAACGTGGTGACGTTCTACAAACCTGTGCATGTTCTGCAACCAGATGCTCTGCTAGCGCGAAACAGGGTGTACACGACAAACTTTGATTATGTGAAGCAACGCCTATAATGACGACAAATGTGTTTCTGAGCAACCGAGTCGCACTGTGCTCTGCCCCATCCAGCACAGCTGGGGAATAAGGCTACTGTACACACTCAATCCCCCCTCCAACCTTCGCAAACACCTCTACAGTACTCACACACCGCACTGTCCTCGACACCACAAACAGGTTCCATTTCAACTTTCAAGGCGAACTGCAGTGCTCCATTCCGGCATTGCGATGTCAGAGCGAGAGGTTTCAGGTTAGGAGGGGAGTGTCCAAGCCAAGCTGGTTCGTGCACCAATGGGTTGACAAAAGAGGAAGGTTATGGTTGGTTTGGGTTTGTCAGTTGAAGCTCAACCTCTCCCTGCAAGCAAGGGCCGTTTTGCTAAGTGTTTATATTTGTTCTCTCTGCACATTACGGGGATTTTCTGTTCCAGTTCCACCAAATCCAGGGCTTTCCGGCTACACCCTCGTTTGAAAGGTATTTGTCAATGGAATTTGTAGGAAAAAAAAAAAAACATCCCTTAGTTGGCGGTTGGGATCAAGGTTGTAGGGGAAACCTCCTCTGGTATACCCTGGCTGTCGATCGTAATCGGCCTACCCACTTATTTACACGCCTCGCTGGGTATCGATACCCAGATGAGCAGTACGAAACCCCCTTCTGGGGGGCTGGCAGAACTCGCCGGCACTGGTTGGGGATTTTTCGGATCGCAGGGTGGTCCAGCACAGAAAAAAAAGGTTGTCTGTCTTCCTTTCTTCCCAACTTGGGAAGTGACTTGGGCTCGGTCAGGACGTGCACGCACGAGCAGTGTGGGTGGGGATAGGGGAAGGTGTTGGAAGTGGTGATGGTGGTGATTCGAGAAAAACCAGTTTCGTGCACGGAATTGACAGCAGCTTTGGGACCTCGGGGATGACTTTTTTATGTTTTGTGAAAGCATCGGATACCTCCAGCGGGATAGACCACGACCACTTCTCGAGTTAGACGCGAGCAGTTAGAACTTCTACCATGAATCGTTGTTTAAATCTCTAGGACGCTATTTGCATCCGCTACACTCATGAATCGCCATTTTCTCGCTGACGGATGGTCCGTCGTCGAGTTCGGAACCGTCGGTTCTCCCGCCTATAGATGGCTCTTCTTCGATCCTTCCGCGCGGCCGTTTTCCCCGTGGCACGATTTCCCCTTACACTCCAAGCACGGCTTCTATCATGTCCTCTGCCTCACGCCGCGCGGCTCCGCCGCGCGCATCGAGGTTTCCGCGGATGAGGATTTCGACCCGCTTCGTCCCGTGGCTTGCGCCGCCGGCGGTGGCGACTGCGGCGGGGCAGGCGGAAAGCTCGCGACGGCACAATTCGCGACGGAGACGCCGTGGAACCTTGGGATTGCGCCGGAGACGTGGCAGGATCCCGAGTCGCCAGGCTACAGCAGCGGCGACGGCGGAGGTAGAGGCGGAAGCGGAAGCGGAAGGGAGTCTTGGGGAACGGAGATTCCGCCGAGCGGGACTCCCGTGGAGGTGATTGAAATCGGCGCGCAGCAGGGGGAGACGGGACAGCTGTACGCGGTAAAGCCGCTCGGCGCGATTGCCGTAGTAGCCGAGTCCTGCGGACGGGTTCGCGACGTCGGCGACGTCGCACGAGCGTGGGCCGTCGCCGCGTGGGTCCAGCGTCGAATCACCTGGGCGACGTCGCGTGATGTCGTGGGCAATTTTGGCGATATCGCTTGCCGACCCGCGGTCGCACGTACTGAATGACGTAGAAGATCTCGCGTGGGAGATGCCGGGAGAATTGGAGCGAATCAAACGGTGGATAAAAACGTGCTGCGGTGTACATGCTTCAAGAAATGGTGGGAAAAACAAATCTGTGACTTCGAGCGAAGGCGAAGCTGGTTACCAGCGGCGATGGTTGGCGTTTGACGAACGGGCATGGGGTCGCGAACGCGCGATCGAGGAGCTGACGATCGCGCACCAATCGTGGCAAATCATGCACGACGAGCTTCCAGCCCCCGCGCCGTTCCTGCACGTCGATTTGCCGAACCTTGGAGTCTCGGTATCTCCGGACGCGGTTTGGAAGAACCTCGATAGAGACGGTTTCACGAACGGTGTACAGTGCACGGGGATGTACAGTGACGAATTTTTCAAAATGCCAGATGATGGTAGTGAAAATGGAAGCAGCAGTAGCAGCAGCAAGAGCGGAGCTTTGCCAACACCTGAGGCTCTTGAGCGACTGTGGACTCCGGTATTTGAAAAATATAATGACGGTGGATTTTTTGGTACTCGCCATGGTGATTTTCATTGTAGTGGTGATGCGAAAGTTGGGAAAGTGTTGGTGGAAGGCAGGAATGCCACTATAGCGAGGATGGATGGTCGCATGCAACGTGCAGCTTCTGGGGGCAGTGTGAGCCACAGCAGCAGCGGCAGCGGCAGCGGCAGCGGCACTAGCGCTGACGTCAGAGGCATGGGCAAGAGCAGCAGCCACAGCAGCCGCAGCTACAGCCGCAGCAGCAGCAACAGCAGCACAACCAATGAGTTATCGTGTGATTCACACAGCAACATAAGTGGTAAGGCATCTGGTAACACACACGCAAGTCGTAACACAGCAAGCAACATGAAGGATGGGAAAAAGGACGGCAGCAGGAAGAAGGATGGCGGTGGCATTGCGGCTAGCATACGCCGACTGCTGCCGCCCACCCCAACCTTCCACGCCCATGTGACTATATGGGGGGATTCGGGCAGGGCCCACGCGGAAACCTGTCATGGCTCGTCTCATGGTAAGCCGATACAGTCACCGAGTCTTCAAGCTTTACAGTCACACTCGTTACAGTCTCACTCGTTACAGTCACATTCTTTACAGTCACGTGGCGCCAAGACGCCGGGTGGACGGCTGGAGAGTGGAGGGTGGAGGGATGAGGAGGAAGAGGAGGAAAGGGATGAGGAAGAGGAGGGGGAGAGTGAGGAGGAGGAGCAAGAGATTTCTCCACCTATTCTGGTAGTTCCTCCTTTGAATGCTGCAAGAAGGGGCTTGGGAGGAGACAGCAAAAAGCTGACTGGTGCTCCTCCTGCTGCTGCCGCACCTGCTGCTGCTGCTGCCCCTGCGGCTGCTGCTACTGCTGCTGCTGCTGCTCCGTCTCCTGTTGCTCCCGCTGCTGGGGATGGCGGAGGCAAGGAGAGAGGGGCGAGGATGAGGGGGAGGCATGAGAGGGGCCGAACGAGGGACTTTCTCTTCCCTATAGACGTCCCCGTTACCGCACAGAGTGGGGGGCCGTTGGCTGGGGTGGCAGAGGGTGGTGGGATTGATCCCCCTGCAGCAGCAGCAGCAGACCATGGCCGCAGGAGCAGGTGCAGCTGCAGGCGTAGTCATAGAAGCACGAGCAGGAGAGGGGACGGAGGCAGGGGCAGGAGAGGGAGCAGAAGCAGCAGCAGCAGCACCACCACCACCACCAACACCAGCAGCAGCAGCACCACCACCAACACCAGCAGCAGCAGCAGCAGCAGCAGCAGGTGGGGTTCTCCCATCCCCCAGGACGCACATCCAGGTGCCCACGCGTGCTTATATGCGGAGGGCGCACCGCAGGAAGAGCCTAGAAGGCATCTCCCAGGTGCCCTCTGTGCCGGAGTGTGACAATAACGAAGGGCGCGGGGGCGGAGGGCGCGGGCAGGGGGGGAAGTAGGGTCC